CCGGATCCTTATCAGAGTTTTCCTGGGAGGAGCCGGCCTTATCACCTTCTTCTGTTCCTTTATCAGCGTTACCCTATTCCTTATCAGCATTACCCATTCCTTACCAGCGTTATCCCATTGCTTATCAAAATTACGCCATTCCTTATCAGCGTTCTCCCATTCCTTATCAGCTTTACCCCATTCCTTATCAGCATTACCCCACTCCTTATCACTCTTAGCCCATTCTTTATCAGGGTTGCCCCATTCCTTTTAAGTTTTCTCCTGTTCCTTTATCAGCATTATCCCATTCTTTATCACCATTACCCTATTCCTTATCAGCGTTTTCCCATTCCTTATCAGCATTACCCCATTCCTCATCAGCGTTATCCAGCACCTTATCAGAGTTACTGCATTCTTTGGTCCTTATCAGTGTTATCCCATCCCTATCACCGCTATTTCATTCCTTATCACCGTTATCCCATTCCTTATCACCGTTATCCATTCCTTATCAGTGTTATCCCATTCCTTATCACCATTATCCCACTTCTTATCACTGTTATCCATTCCTTATCACCATTATCCCATTCCTTATCACCGTTACCCCATTCCTTATCACTGTTATCCTATTCCTTATCACCGTTATCCCACTCCTTATCACTGTTACCCCATTCCTTATCATCGTTACCCCATTCCTTATCACCATTATCCTGTTCCTTATCATTGCAGCCCAGGGGCTGCCGGCTCCGCCTCTTCCCATCCCAGCTATGAGCCGTGAACATCAAAACTGGGAGAGCTCCAACTGCTCCAATCCCGATTTTTATCCCTTCCCTGGAATAAAATCCCACCCTCATCCTAAAGCGCTGCTTTAGGAATTCCCAAATCCCTTTTCCTCCATATTCCCAACTCGAGGACATGCCAGGCACTATTTGCCTTTCCAGGGCCGGTTTTTCCCCATCTCCCACCCTTGGGAATATCAAACCGAGCTAGCCAGGCCCCAAAATCTGCACGCAGATCCAAAGGGATCCTTCCCAAATGGATGGAGTGGGATTGGAGCCACTCCGGAGGCCGCTGACCGAGGGGGCGGGCGGGAGATTCCCAAGCCATGCGTGGATAATCGGGGGCCGGAGCAGATGGCGGAGGCTCKGCTGGAACATTCCATGCCAGGGAATGCTCACTTCCAGGGGCGCTCCATGGAACGGGAATGTGGCCAGGGGCCAGGAGAAGGGAAAAGAGGAGCTGGAATTCTCCCCGGAAGGGAAAACCCCCCCGGAGCAGGATCTTTAAACTGGATGTTCCACGAGGGAAATGCTCCTGTCCTCGTGGGGCAGATGAAAGAATGGATCCATTGGCTGGAAATTGGGAATGATCTCCGGAATTCCTAAGAGCTGGGATGGTCTTCTCCATTACAGTGGGATGGTGCTGGTGGGAAAGGTGGAATTTTGCTGGAAAGGCAGGATGGGATAGTGCTTCTGACTGGAAAAGCCAGATATTTCCACCCAGAGAGGTGGGATAATGCTCCTGACTGGAAAGCCTGGATAATTCCAGCTGGAGAACTGGGATGATGCTTCTGATTTGAAAGGCTGGATAATTCCAGCTGGAGAGATGGGATAATGCTCCTGACTGGAAAAACCAGATATTTCCATCTGGATGAGGTGGGATGAGGCTGTCGGAGAGAAGGGATGGATCCCTTGGTTGAAAATTGGGAATGCCCTCTGGAATTCCTAAGAACTGGAATGCTCTTCTCTGCTACAGTGGGGTGGTACTGGTGGGAAAAGTGGGATGAGGCTTCTGGCCAGCAGGGTGGGATAATGCTGGATATTTTCCCAGTGGAAATCCCCTTTCCCAGTGGAAAGGCTGGATATTCCCAGGTGGAGAGGAGGGATGAGGCTGCCAGAGAAAAGGGATGGATGCTTTGGCTGGAAAGAGGGACTGACTTCTGGAATTCCTAAGAGCTGGAATGCTCTTCWCCACTAGAGTGGGATGGTGCYGGTGGGRAAGGTGGAATTTTTCTGGAAAGGCGGGATAGGATAGTTCTCCTGACTGGAAAAGGCGGATATTTCCAGCCAGAGAGGTAGTATAATGTGCCCGACTGGAAAGGCAGATATTTCCAGATGGAGTTATCCAGACAGAGAGGTGGGATAACGTTTCCAATTGGAAAGGTTGGATTTTTCCAGGTGGAGAGGTGGGATGATGCTTCCGGCCAGCCAGGTGGGATATTTCTGACTGGAAAGATGAGATGTTTCCAGNGGTGAGGTGGGATAATTCTCCCGACCGGAAAGGCTGGATACTTCCAGCCGGTGAGGTGGGATAATTCTCCCAACTGGAAAGGCTGGATACTTCCAGCCAGTGAGGTGGAATAACGATTCCAGACAGCGCGGTGGGATAACGCTTCCGGCTGGGAAGGCAGGATGTTGCCATCTGGTGAGGTGGGATGATGCCAGTTGGAAAGGTGGGATGGCGCTTCTGGAGAGTGAGGTGGGATAAGATTTCAGACCGGCAAGATGGGATGATGCCAACGGGAAAGGTTGGATCCTTTCAGCTGGAGAGGTGGGATAACACCTCTGACTGGAAAGGTGGGATGACGCATCCGGAGAGTGAGGTGGGATAACATTTCCAGATCGAGTGGTGGGATAATGCTTCTGGAGAATGAGGTGGGATAATGCTTCCAGACCGTGAAGTGGGTTAATGTTTCTGACTGGAAAGGTGGGATCCTTTCAGCTGGAGAGCTGGGATAACACCTCTGACTGGAAAGGTGGGATGATCCCAGCTGGAAAGGTGAGAAGGCGCTTCCAGAGAGTGAGGTGGGATAAGATTTCTGACCGGAAAGATGGGATGACGCCAACGGGAAAGGTTGGATCCTTTCAGCTGGAGAGGTGGGATAACGCCTCTGACTGGAAAGGTGGGATGATCCCAGCTGGAATTACAGGATGCTGGTGACTGGAAAAGTGGGATGATGCCAGTGGGAAAGGCGGGATGCCGCTAGCCAGTGAGGTGGGATAATGCTCCGATTGGAAAGGTGGGATGCTTCCAACCGGAATTATGGAATGCTGCTTGGAAAGATGGGATGTTTCCCACCAGTGAGGTGCGATGATGCTTTTGACTGGAAAGATAGGATGTTTCCCACTGGTGAGGTGGGATATTCCCATCAGTGAGGTGGGATAATGCTCTGACTGGAAATATGGGATATTTCCAGATGGAATTATGGGATGCTGCTTGGAAAGGTGGGAAGTTCCCAGACGATGAGGTGGAATAATGCTCCCGACTGGAAAGGTGGGATGATGTTTCCAGCTGGAATTATGGGATGCTGGCGACTGGAAAAGTGGAATGATGCCAACGAGAAAGGCGGGATGCTGTCAGCCAGTGAGGTGGGATAACATTTCCAATTGGAAAGATGTGCTGTTTCCAGCTGGAATTATGGGATGCTGTTTGGAAAGGTGGGATGCTTCCCACAAGTGAGGTGGGATAAGGCTTTTGACTGGAAAGA